ACATCGAAGATTCATTGCACTTATGAACAAGGAACCTTTTTTTTCAATTTCTGTGTAATTTGCAAGGCTGTACAATGTGTGCTGATGCAAGCCTTTTTCAGTTCAAAAGAATAAATGTTTACAAATATAGACCCACTTTGTCTTTTGTAAGTTAAAATCACCTTTTTAAATGAGTGTCAGTGTTGAAGACTTACCCTATGTTGAAGATTTCGGTTTCAGGCTCACAGAAGATGAAAGACGGTGAACCCCCTCGTTTTCCAAATGTCCTGTGGAGCGTCACTGTCTGCAGGGGTGGTTCCCGTGGGTATGACCCATGTCACTTTGTTCTCTCATGAAGTTCATACCAATCAGTTGTAGAAAATTTTGAGTCTGAACATACTTACAGTCAGCCAACTTAAAAATAGAACGTTATGTTTGGTTAGATAAAGAATTTATGTTTTTAGCTGACGTATTGAGCATCCACTTGTCCAGTTTAGCTCAAATGCTTGATAGAAAGCTTTCCTCATTTGTTAACCAAGCAAAGTCAAAACTGCTGCGAAACCCAAAGGGTGGGGGGTCTGCCAGCTGCACCTTGCCTGGAGCCTCGTTTGCTTCCATCCCAGACTAGGGGGTTACTTTGCAACTCAGGAGCAACAGGTGTTATCAGACTGTGGTGCAGATGTTCACACGCTCAAGAGCATTTGTGAAGTGCCACTTGGTCCCAGGGAATCCCAGGCCTCCCCAGAAGCTCATGCATCCCAGTGATGGATATTGTACTCCTGGGAGCAGGTGAGGCTGCCTTTGAACCATGTCAGATTAAGGAGCCATACACAAGAAGTAAGTGAGGACTGTGAAAATCACTCACTCCCGAGGCCTGTTGAATTTTATTTTTGACTATAGAGAGTCAAAGGTGAAGAGGGTACATAATTAGGGCCAACATTGCAGCAAGAATTATTCAATCACACATCGGGATGGAGACAAAAAAACCACAGCCGTACAGTTTATTTCAATTCTGAGTATTTAATGCCTGCAGTAAGAACCCTGCGTAAACCTAAGTGGATTTTTTTGTATTTTTTTTAATTGAAGTATAATTGACATATAACATTATATTTGCTTCAGGTATACAACATAATGATTCGATATTTGTGTATATTGCAAAATAATCGCCACAAGTCTAACATCCATCATCTCAGTTTCAATTTTTTTTTCTTGTGATGAGAACTTTTAAGATACACTCTCTTAGCAACTTTTTTTTCTTGCTGAGGAAGAGTCGCCCTGAGCTAACATCCATGCCAGTCTTCCTCTGTTTTTTTAAGTGTGTGGGCTGCCATCACAGCATGGCTGCTAACAGAGCGGTGTAGGACTGAGCGCAGGCCGCCACAGCAGAGCATGCCAAACTTAACCACTAGGCCACCAGGGCTGGCCCACAACTTTCCAGTATACAGCACAGTATTATTAACTATAGTCACTACGTTGAACATTAAAACCTAAGTTTTTTTGCAAAGATTTTATTTTTCCTTTTTCTCCCAAAGCCCCCGAGTACATACTTGTGTATTTTTAGTTGTGGGTCCTTCTAGTTGTGGCATGAGGGACGCAGCCTCAGCATGGCTTGATGAGCGGTGCCATATCCATGCCCAGGATTCGAATTGCTGAAACCCTGGGCCATCGCACCACTTGGGCATGGGGCCAGCCCCTAAATTTTTGCTTTAGACCCTTGGTTTACCCCGTAGGAGGTGACAACTGCCCAGAAGAAATAGGTAAGAAATGAGAACAAGGCTGTTGTGAAGTCAGCTCTTAGCCACCACCACCCCTCCCCCATATCCTGACCACCACGTGGGAATACTAATGAAATTGCCAGCCCTCACATTACAAAAATATGTACACGTTCCCTAGATTATGTTTCCCTATTCTTTTTGATCCTCTAGAATCTAATTGGTAGAAGGAGGAAGCACACACAGGAGGCATTTAAGATGTGATTTGGCCCAGACTTTAAGCATTCCTAAGGACAGCTTCAAATGCCCCACAGCCCTGACCATATTTAGGGGCTGAGAGAACTTTTACCGATAGAATGGGCTATTCTTATCTGTGCCAAATGAGCAGCTCCAGCAGCCCTTTCTTTGGGAATGAGAGAGGTCACTTAACTTTCCGTCCACCTCTGCTACTTTGTATATTAGAAAGCTGAGGGCCGGCCTGGTGGCGCAGTGGTTAAGTGCGCATGTTCTGTTTCGGTGCCCAGGGTTCACCGGTTTGGATCCCGGGTGCAGACATGGCACCGATTGACAAGCCATGCTGTGGTAGGCATCCCACATATAAAGTAGAAGAAGATGGGCATGGATGTTAGCTCATGGCCAGTCTTCCTCAGCAAAAAGAGGATTGGCAGCAGTTAGCTCAGTGGCTAATCTTCCTCAAAAAATAGCAAACATTTTTATCTTGGCTTAGAAAGCTCAATGTGATCTAGTCCTGCTTAGTCTCTGATCCCTCATACCACCCAGAACATCTGTACCTGCTGTTCCTTCTACCTGGAATACTCTTTCCCTGAACTTTGTCTAGCCAGCTCCTTTATCTTTCATATAAATATCTCTTCAACAGAGAGGCCTTTATTAGCCACCCAATCAGTCTTCTGTGTCACTTTATCTCCATCTTCTGCATATCATTTATCACTATCAGGTCTTTTACTACCACTAGAATATAAATTCCATGAGATTAAGGAACTTGTCTGTCTTGTTTGTGGCTGTGTTCCCAAGCACCTGTTTGCTGTTCAACAAATATTTGTTGACCGTTTAACAACAAAGAGGATCTGGAGAACCCTGGCGTCCAAACCTTCCAGGTCATTTTGCTGGTCTGGAACTCTCCCACAAAGTGATGTCAGCAGGTGGGAGGCAGCTGGAATAGAAGCACGATTCACAGGCCCTTTTGGTACTTAGTTTAATTCCTTAATGACTTGGGGCGGGGGCCAGGTTGGGGCTGGTTAGTCACAGGGGAAAATGGAATAAGATGCATATGAATCCCCTGGTAATCTTGTTAAAGTGCAGATCCTAATTCAATGGGTCTGGAGTGTGGCTTGAGATTCCAAATTTCTAACAAGCTCTGAAGTTGATGCTGATGGTGAAGCTGGGTACCTGAAGGTTACTGTAAATATTCAATAAGAACCTGATTACCTTTCAACTAATCTTGTCAATTTGCTGTTTTCTTTTTTAACCTGAGGGGTGACTCAAGAGTCACAAGGATTTACGAGCTTATTTTACAGAAGAAAGAGAATGCCTTCAAGGAAGTTAAAATCACCAGACAACCAGCCCCAGGTTGCCTTTGACACCCTGAAGTCAGATTGCCCAAAGGCTTATCTGGAGTGAAAGACACAGATTACTCCTTTGTTTCTCTGAAACTCCTGCCAAGCCCCTTCAGTCTATAAAAGCTGTGTTTTCTACCTTGTTAAGGCAGATTTGAGAGAACCTATCCTCCCACATTCTCATTTTGGCCAATTTGAATAAACCCTTCTCCATCTCCAAGCACTGGTGTCTCAGTGATTGCCTTACTGCAGATCAGGCATGCAAACTTGAGAGTAAGAGGTTGGGTGTCAAGGGTACTCAGACCACACATTAGCAAAGCACTAAGTCATCACCATTTTCAGAGAAGTAACTCAAAGCACATGGCTAGAGCTGGGACTTGCATCGATATCCTGAGTGGGGGAGGTTATTATTATTATAGGTGATGAGAAAACTCATAAGTAGTTGAGAATCATACAGCTCTGGCATATCACTGGTTTGATTAACCCCACATGAAAACAGAAGACACATACTTCATCTAACTGAAGGACAAAAGCCAATAAAATATTCATTTTATACTTTGGCCCCTACAATGGCACATCAGGACAAATAGCCATGAGTTATTCCTCCTTAATTGGAGTCTACATCCTCCTATATTCCACCCTCACCAAAACATCACTCTCTGTGGTGGATGTCTGTCAAATTTGGACACCTTTTAAATACCCTTCCTATGTTTGGGGAAATTCCCACATTACAAGTCCTTCTGACCTTCTTTCTGGGGTTCCACCAACAACATTCACATCCAGGAGAATCTGATGAGGAAGAGAAGGACAGAAAGCAGGTGCTGCGTAGAATTTCTTGTAGAGGGATTGTTTCTGTACGTCTACACTACATACATGATGTCATTTCACTCTTAAAATAAACCACTGAGGTCAGTATCACCAGCTACATTTTAATGAAGCTTGGAGAGATTAACAACAAGCTGAGTCATTTTGAAGCTGGGTACCTGAGGATTACTGGAAATATTCAATAAGAACATTATTACCCTTCAACCTTGTTCCCAGCACAGACACAGATGAAAAGAAGTTACTCTTGTTAATTTGCTGTTTTCTTGTTAAACCTCAGGGGTGATTCAAAGGTCACAAGGATTTATGACCTTGTTTTGTAGAAGAAAAATAATGCTTTTAAGGAAGTTACATCACCAGTAAAAAGCCCCCAGCTGCCTTAAGGCCCAGAAATCTGATTGCCCAAGGGCTTAGCTGGAGTGAAAGAAACAGGGATTTCCTCTTTGTTTCTCTGAAACTCCTCCTGCCAAGCCCCTTAGCTCTATAAAGATCCCCTGCTTTCTTCTTTGTTAAGGCAGATTTGAGAGAACCCATCCTCCCACCTTCTCTTTAGGACAATCTAAATAAACATTTCTCCATCTCCAAGCACTGGTGTCTCATGATTGGTTTATTGCACATTGGGCACACAAACTTGAGATTAAAAGGTACACTAATCAATTTAATCAGTTTTAGAACACCCAAGACTGTGCCCTAAACTCTGTATCCCTTTCTTAATTGCATATAACAGTTTATTCTGTACTATGTGACTTATTTGGTTTTGATCATATATTGCCAAGGACTGTTGGTTATTCTTTCACGTAAACATTTTATTCCAACTCCTGAAGCTTTTTTTATACAAAATGGTAGCTACTAGCTACAAGTAGCTAGTAAATTAATTAAAATTAAATAAAATATAAATTCGGTTCCTCAGTTGGACTAGCCACATTTCAAATGCTCAGTAGCTACCTGTGATTAGCGGCTACCATATTGAATGGAGGAGATGCAGAACGTTTCCTTTATTGCAGAAAGTTCTAACAGCACTGTCCTAGAAAACTGGGATAAAGTCTCATGTATCTTTGATATTCAGTAGAATTTTACATACAGTAGACTCTGCGTAAATGTTGACTAATCACAGACTACAAATATAGTGAAAATCTGGTATGGAGTGTATGATTTAAGAGTATTGTCTACCAAAATAAAGAGTCTGGGGAAAGGTTAATTAAAGGAGTTTATTCAAGGTAAGGAATTCAAATCCCAGGAAACAGTCCACAGAGTATTTTGAGGAACTGCTCTGAGGACTACAGGTCTGATGCAGTTTATATACCTTTTAGCAAAGCAGTGTACATGCAGGAAAGGGCTTACACATCTAATAGTCATATACTTCAAAGAGTACAAGAGCTCTTTGGTTATATGTCAAAAAGGCTTGTAACGTTGGTGTTATCTATGTGTGGGGGGAGGCAAGGACCAGGGTTGTCATGTTTTCCCTTAATCTCTAAGAAATGCAGTTTGGATATGTGAGAGTGAGGTACCCACTGTCTCTTCCTGTTGCTCATTCATCCTGCTGGCATCTTCAGTTATGAGACAAGGGCTTGCAAGTTCATTTAGAAACATGCTTATGACGCCCACATGCCTGCTTCACAGTCCAGCATGGGGTTTTGTCCTGACTTTAAGCCTACGCAGCTTGCTTGTTAGATTCACCTGTTAGACCAGGAAAAGGGGTCCCAGTTTCATTCACAGTATAAATTCAAAAAGATGCAGAGAGGGGCCGGGCCCGTGGCCAAGTGGTTAAGTTCACGCACTCCACTTTGGCAGCCCAGGGTTTCACAGATTTGGATCCTGGGCGTGGACATGGCACCTCTCATCAGGCCATGGTGAGGCAGGGTCCCACATGCCACAACTGAAATATGAAACTATGTACTGGGGGGATTGGGGGAGAAAAAGCAGGAAAAAAAAAGATGCAGAGAGATAGGCTAGACTGGTCAATTTATCATCTCACCTCTCTTTTATAGCATAGGAGAGGAGTATAGTGTCTGAGGTTCCCTGTCATTTCTTGCCTGGACAACCACAATAGGTTCTGAGCGATCTCTCCACACACTCTCGTTCTCATCTCCCTCACCATCTACTCTCCACTCTGCAGTCAGGGTGAGTTTTTTAAAACACAAATTGGATCAGGCCATTTTCTTGTCTAACACCCTTCAGTGACTTTCCACTGCCTGTCCAAAATCCTTAATGTCACCCCCTAGGTCCTGCATGCTCTGCCCTCTGTCTACCTACCTCTCCAGGCTTACCTGGCGCTTGTCCTCTCCCTTCCCAGGTTCTGATTACACTGGACTTCCCTAAGCTCCTCAAACACGCCATGCCCTCTTGTCTCCAGGATTCTAGATGGTGGCAATCTTCTGCCAGAAACTGGGGCTCTCTCCCAGCTGTGGCAGAGATTGGTTAGTTTTTCAGCAAACTGGGAGGGAGTGGAGGGTGTCTCTCTTCCCTGACACATCACCAGACTAGGTTTTCCAGCCCCCTCCCTGCACCTAGACAGCCAGGTGTCTGAGTTTTGGCCAACTAAATGTGAGCAGAAAAGCGTGCCCTTCCATGCCTGGCAACAAAAACCTTCTGAGAGATTCTTTCTGCTCTTGCTAATCAGAGTGTGGGCTAGAGACCATCTGTTGTCAGTATCGCTGGAGAGCTTGATGCCAATGCATCAGCTCAGGTCCAACCCTAGACCTACCCGAATGAGAATCTACATTTTTAATAAGATCATCAGGTGATCTATAGACATTGAAATTTGCTTGTTGGCTGCATGTAGAGGATCTGTTGGAGATCTCCAAGATGTCAAGAAACCAAAGAGCCACTGGATGGGAAGATTCAAGAGTTCTTGAACGAGGGTATGGAGCAGAGCCCCTTGCACCAACTCTGCTTTATACCTCTGACTGGCATTACTCTGTAAATAAATGAGAAATGAATCTTTCTTGTGTTATGCCACTGAAATTTGAGAATTATTCCCCCATGTAATTTACCCTCTGCCTGGAACATTTATTCTCCCCACCCTACCCTCCAATTTCTGGTTCATTTTTACTCATACTTCAGATCTCTCACCTCAAATATTATTTCCTTCAGGGAGTCTGCTCATCCTCCACAGCTCCCTACTTCCATCCTCGAGACTAAGTCGTTCTGCCAGTAATAACTCTAATAATATCCTGTACTTTCTCTTCAAAGCATCAATCACGATGGTCATTATATGAGCAATTAGCCAATTGGTTGCTTAATGTTTTTCTGTCCATCAGTATGTAATCTTCAGGGCAAGAAAAATGTCTATTGCTTTTGTTTACTAATCAGATGTTCCTCAACTTATGATGGGGTTACAACCCGATAAACTCATGGTAAGTTGAAAATATTGTAAGTCGAAAAAGCATTTAATGCACCTAACCTGGGGCTGGCCTGGTGGCACAGTGGTTAAGTTCACACATTCCACTTCTCGGCGGCCCGGGGTTTGCCAGTTTGGATCCCGGGTGTGGACATGGCACTGCTTGGCAAGCCATGCTGTGGTAGGCATCCCACATATAAAGTAGAGGAAGATGGACACGGACGTTAGCTCAGGGCCAGTCCTCCTCAGCAAAAAGAGGAGGATTGGCAGCAGATGTTAGCTCAGGGCTAATCTTCCTCACAAAAAAAAAATACACCTAACCTACTGAACGTCCTAGCTTAGCCTCGCCTACCTTAATCGTGCTCAGAACACTGACATTATCTTATGGTTGGGCAAAATCATCTAACACAAAGCCTATTTTATGACAAAGTGTTGAATGTCTCATGTAAGTTACTGAGTACTGTACTGAAAGTGAAAAACAGAATGGTCGGATGGGGACAGAGTGGTTGTAAGTGTATCAGATGTCTACCTGTGATCTCATGGCTGACTGGGAGCTGTGGCTCCCTGCCACTGCCCAGCTTCAGGAAAGAGCATCCAGCTGCATATCGCTAGCCCAGGAAAAGATCAAAATTCAAAGTACGGTTTCCACTGCATGTGCATTGCTTTTGCACCATCAAAAAGTTAAAAAATTGTAAATCGAACCATCGTGAGTCGGGGACTGTCTGTACATCCCCACCTCCTACCAGTGCCTTTCTCAGTAGGTATTTGTCCAGTGATTAAATGAAGAGATGATCCGGCTGAGTCAAATGCTTTGAATCCTGAAAGACACACATATATTTTTGTTAAGCATGCTTTTGGCAGGCAGGCAGAAATAATAGCTAACATTTGCAAAGCAGTTAATTACTATGTGTCAAGCACTTATAAAGATCTCTATTTAATCATGACAATAGCCCTAAAAGGTAAGTTCCATTATTTTTTATTTATTATTTTTTTAGGAAAATGGGCTCTGAGCTAACATCTGTTGCCAATCTTCCTCTTTTTTTTCTTTCCTCCCCAAAGTCCCAGTACTTAGTTGTATATCCTAGTTCTAAATCATTCTAATTCTTCCATGTGGGATGCTGCCATGGCATGGCTGACAATTGGCATAGGTCGGCACTTGGGAACTGAACCCACAAAGCCAGGTCACCAAAGCGGAGCGTGCTCAACTTAACCACTAGGCCACCAGGCCAGCCTCAAGCCTGCCTTTTTTGATTTATTCAAAAATAAATGTCTTATTCACCTGGATCTATAGGAGAAGCCAGAGAAGAGTGCCATCCTATCCTTACTTATGAATATTTGATTGCTGCGAGTGAAGCTTACAACATATTCAAATGTTCCTTTTCTCCTTTTTAAGTTGTATATGCGTCCATAAGCCTTACAGAGTAACTAAATCTCTTACTTGGCTATCGGTGAGTGATTATGTTTTATATAATCAATTTCCTTTTTTTGACACTTTTCACTCTTTCACTCAAGAAAAAACAACACAGAATATTTTTCCTTTACCTGTTTTTTATATAAATGCCTTTGCAATATGTAAGTCATACAGCCTCCTCTGGTGGTAAAGAGGTGCAAACTTCTATGGAACACACACACACACAAATTTTTTTAAAGTATGTTGTGGGACTTTATATTTCAAGGTGATATTACCAATCCAGCTTCAGTACGAAATCCAGATTTCTGGGGCTGGCCCAGTGGCGCAGCGGTTAAGTGTGCACATTCTGCTTCGGTGGCTCGGGTTCACCAGTCCGGATACCGGGTGGGGACATGGCACTGTTCGGCAAGCCATGCTGTGGTAGGCATCCCACATATAAAATAGAGGAAGATGGGCATGGATATTAGCTCAGGGCCAGTCTTCCTCAGCAAAAAGAGGAGCATTGGTGGCAGGAGTTAGCTCAGGGCTAATCTTCCTAAAAAAAAATTCTAAAACCTTGTGCGAGCTCGATAAGAACATCAGGAGACCAGATACAGCCCACGGGCTCCAGCACAGGCACAGGACTAAAACATCTGAAGATGCCACACTGCCAAGAGATGGAGAGTTAGGAGTTCTGTGTTTGGTAAACAGCAGCAGGACCTCTGTTGAGCAAACCTGAAGCAGCATGTACTGATGGCCACAGGAGAAACAGTAGATTTCAAGAGGTGGAAGCCTAGATGATTTATGGTCAGTCAATGGGATGGTTCCCCATCTCGGCCCAAAACCACTGCAAACCACCTCTTTGTCTTTGATGACAAGAAGCCAAACTCTGAGAATTCACACTGGGGTCAAGCAGGTGGGTCGAGCTGTTGTGGTGGGGGTTCTTGCAATGGTCAGAGACACACCAACGGAAAGCTGACCTTCCTCTTCACTGCTTCTGGACCCGGTAACAGGCCTGATATCTAAGATCCCTTGAAGAAGAGCTCATTGCAATGAAACCACTTTTTTTGTATCAAAGAAGCCCGTAAATCGTTGGAGCCCAGCTCATGAGAAGCCTTTTGTCTCTAGAACTGAGGAGCGGTAGAGGGAAGGAAAAGAACAAGGCATAACTCATTTCATAGTTTGCCTGCCGCACACTAATAAAAAAACTTCTGTTTTGTTTTGTTTATTTGAGGAAGATTAGCCTTGAGCTAACTACTGCCAATCCTCCTCTTTTTGCTGAGGAAACTGGCCCTGAACTAACATCCACGCCCATCTTCCTCTACTTTAAACATGGGACACCTACCACAGCATGGCTTTTGTCAAGTGGTACCATGTCCACACCCGGGATCGAACTGGGGAACCCCGGACGGCTGAAAAGCGGTACGTGTGCACCTAACCACTGTGCCACTGAGCCAGACCCTAAACTTCTGTTTTAAGGGTCTTGTTACTGACCAAGAGCTCACTGCCTGATGCACATAGAAGCCAATACTGTGGTGCAGGCTTCTGAGAAAAGAAAAGGCTTTATTGCAAGGTGACTGGCGAGGAGACAGGAGGCAAGGCTCTCAAATCTGTCTACCTGATCCAGGGTTTCGGGTAAAATGTAAGGGATTAAGGAGGGCAGGCTGGTGTGCAGAAGTGCTGGCAGGACAGATTCTGATTGGAAGGACTTTAAACAAGACCATTTATGGCAAGGCATAAAAAAGGGCTTTAACATCAGGGGCTTCCTGGACAATGGCCCTCTTGCTTCTGAAAACATTCTGGCTTTTGAGTCTGGTTGTGTCCTGATCCTTTGGTTCCATGGGAGAGGGGGAAACTTTGTTTCTAGGTGTTATTTCAGGTCAAAATTTTCTCTTCTGCACTTGCTTCAGATATCTGACTTGTAGTTTTGGCTTGCTGACCCTGCAAGATAACTTTAACATTCTGTTATTAACGTGATAGGGCCAATTTGAACCGGTCCTATGGCTACAGTCTGATTGTAAAATTGAGCTCAACTTTTCATCAGTGATTCAGGTCCATTTGAAAAATTGGGTTGGGCTGTGGCTTCATGATTAAGTTCAGTGCGTTCTGCTTCTGCAGCCCAGGTTCAGTTCCCGGGTGTGGACCTACATGCTGTGGTATACAAAATAGAGGAAGATTGGCACAGATGTTAGCTCAGGGTGAATCTTCCTCAGCAAAAAAAAAAGAGAAAAAGAAAAATTGGGTTGACACCACTTCCTCCAGGAGGCCATCCCTGTCTCTCCCTTCCTCTCTACAATACCCTGTACATGTCTCTTTCATTTTATCCAAACCAAAATATTATGGTCACATATTTACATATCACTCTCTCCCACTGTAAGTTTTCTGAGGACAGAAATAGTACAGTATCTATCATCAATCAAATAACAAATAGTTCTATCCCTGCCCTTGGTCTACTGCCTGTCCCATAATGGGCGCTCAAATATTTGTTGACTGAGAATAAGGAGAGAATTCCATGCAAGAGCCATGCTATGAACAAAAACAGATGTCAAGGAATGTGGCCTGGACAGTGAATAAAATCGTCTGGTTGGCCTAGAGAGCTCAGATGGGGAAGTAGAAGAAACACATGTTGGAAAAGTAAGTTGGAGCCAAATTATAGAGGATTTTGAATGTTGGGCTACAGAATTTGTACTTTAGTTTTGGAGGCACTACAGAGCCAGTAAAAATTTTTAAGCAGGAAACAACATGCTAAAAATAATTTGGGGGGAAGATGGAAATAACATCATTGTGTGGAAAGAGTAGTTAGAAGAGTTGTATGAATCAGTTGGTTAGGGTTCTGTCTCATTTGGGTTCACAGAAACAGACTAAGAGATGATTTGCTTGCAGGAAGTTTCTTGGGGAGTGAACGACCGTGGTAACAACATTGGTAAAATGCAGTGAGGCCTAGGATGATCCCAGGGGAAGGCTGGAGATGGGAGGCCCTTCAGAGGCCAAAATGAGGCATGGGACCTAGGCCTCCGTGCCCTCAGCTGAGTGCAACTCTCAGAGAAGGACGCGGCTTTGAGCCTTCAGCAACCAACACTCCCATCAGCTGGGGGAGTGAGTGCTGTGGTTCTGAAGCGGGGCTCCAGGTGGGGCACCACAGTATCGACCACACTGAAATGGAAAGGATTTAAGATAGCACAAAAGAATTGCAAGTTTGCTGTGGCTGTTCGTATACAGATTAAAGGGAGGAGACTCTGCTTTCACTCTTTGTGATAGAACAAAGAAAAGCCTCTTCATTCAGGAAGGGATATCTTCTGACTAATTGGACAATATTGAACTTCAAAACTCAAGAATCTCAAATCAGGAATATCCATAATTCCTGGTTGTTTTTTTTTCCTCCCAGGAAATTTAACATTTTTGAATCCCATATTGCTGATCAGTCTCTTGCCCACCCCTTGAAACCGGCAGAGAGGTAGCCATTGGTGATTAAGTAGCTAGGAACTAAAGTTTTTTTCCTTTTTGCTATTACTGATTATAGCTTTTAGCTGTTTCTTTTTTTTTTTTTTAAGATCGGCATCTGAGCTAACAACTGTTGCCAATCTTTTCTTTTTCTGCTTTATCTCCCCACATCCCCACCTGGCATATAGTTGTATATCTTAGTTGCACATCCTTCTAGTTGTGGCATGCGGGACACCGCCTCAACGTAGCCTGACCAATAGTGCCATGTCCGCGCCCAGGATCCGAAACCCTGGGCTGCCACAGCGGAGCACGCAGACTTAACCGCTGGGCTAGAGGGCCGGCCCCTGAATGTTGTTTCCTATTTGACCAAGCGTTTTAAAACCTTTTGATATTTTTGACAAGCTCCCCGCCCCACTAAAATATTCAAATCCTGAATAAAGCCTTTCTTTTGGCCTAGAAGAAGGAAGAGAATTTCTCTGAGGATATTCAGAGGGCCCCTGAGACTTCTCAAAGAAATTTGCTCTCTCTTCCTGTAAGCAGGAAAATACTAAACTAATTAGGCTTATTTGCTCTGTTAAATTACATTTGAAGCATTGTCAAATAAGTGATGATAAACTTTCTAGGGTGGTATTATGCGAGTAAATGTTATTGATACAAATGATTCAAAAATTAGAAAGCATTCCTAAAATTCTGATCTGTCCTGGTTGTCAGCCATAATCCTGGTTGATATTTTAAAGTATTGAGTGTCACAAAATTAACCAAATTTCTTTTGTCAGTTGCCATTTTGGGATCTTGCTGTTTATGGACAGTTGTTGTCTTACTCTGATGATTTTGCAAAATATGTTTCATCTTCAGAGAAATTCATGGAAAGGACTGACACTCTAGAACATAGGTTTCTGATAAACTTTCAGATCATAAAACTGAACTGGGTGAGAAATTACAGAACTCTAACAGACAAACTGATGACCTCATAAAACTGCTGACAGA